AGCAGGAAAAAGTGAACTCAAAACAGGACTTCCGTTTTGCTGAAGTTTTCCTTAGCGAATGCTGAGCTTTTTGGGGGTGGGTGGTGGTGGGGAAGAGGGGCGGAAAGGGAACTGTGCCTAAAGTAGGTTCGGGGGGGGGGGGGGCCTCAGCTGTCTCTGTTGAGGTGCCACACAACCAGAGTCACAGCTCTGTTACGCTAGTACTCGCGTTACTTTGCAGAGCTCTGAAAAATGCAGCTACAAGCACTAACCAGTGACCCTTGTCCCTGTGCAGTTGCCTGCCTTCCCAGAGAAGTGACTAGTAGTTTGTTTGTAGCCTTTCCTTGTTTCAAACTGCCTTCTTCATGGTGGATGCTTATTTTCTCCAGTTAAGTGTAAATTACATAATTTGAATAATTGAAGTTAGTTTTTGTGCTACCAGAGTTTCAGATTGTGTGTTCCTTTGCCATATGGCCCATGTTGAACTGGATTCTTCTTCAATTATGTTTAGAAAGTTTAATTCCTAAGGGATAAGGGGAGGGAAGAACATATCACTTACAAATAGTCTTCAAGCCACGTTCCACGTTTCCAGAAAATTCCCGGTCAATGCTGCTTAATAAATCACGATTAGCAATCTACAAATAAATGAGATTAATCTGTGGATAATGAAATGCAGTAACAAGTGGAACCTTAATTTAAAATACACTGACCAAGCTCATTTGAAATCAGTGAACAACTCCTACCCTGGAGTATGCCTCAACTGTTGCTTTCAGTTGGGGAAAACTTCTGCTTGCCAGAACCATATTAAAGCAAGATTCATCAGTCCCAAGTTTTCCTTCACCTGCTTGGTACAGACGCTGAGCATCTTCTTGAGCTTTTTGATAATCCACAGTTTGATTCTCATCCCGATTACCCTAAAAGCAAAGACAACAGATGTCAGATGAAATTAGGCGGAGAAGGCTGTGCTTTAACTGCTTGCGGTGTAGAGCCCAAGCATGTATTTTCAAAGCTTGAAGCAGGAAGAGTAATACCAGTTTGAAATATGTTACACTGCTTTAAAACTATGCTTTGGTTTAATATTTCTTATGGGTGACAAATACAAAAGTGGCCCAGAACCCTATCTGTAGGGCATGCTTTAAACTATAGATATACTGACTCAGATAATTTTACCCCTCCATACCATCTCATAGTTTTAATTAAGTACTGTACTTAATTCTCTATTTTATTTAATAACGTAAACTTTCTCTTGATTTGTTTGTTTCTAGGCTTCAAGTTGCAAAGAAACTTCACAAACTAATGAATAATCTTACTGAATATGCACACCTGAAATATCTCAGGCCTCCTATTTTGTTTAGAATTTGATAATTTCAAGTAAGAATGTCTCCAGAAAACACTTACTATAGTTGTAATATGTCAGTAGGGCTTACATGACATTTTATGTGCTTTGGGTTTTTTTTGTTTGCTGCCCTGTGCATGGATGGACACTGGCTGAGTAGGCTGAATACATGCTCTCTAATACTATTGTGTCTATAGTGGTTAATACAACATTTAAATTATGTGTTTGTCAATTATTGTAAAGTACTGGCTCTATCAAAATAAAAATTAGCAGCATGAGCTTCTCAGGGTTTGCTTTCTTGTGGATTTTGACTTTCTAGTCCAAATACCTAGTGCATAGCTGAACTCTCACAAAGGTAGAGGCAAATGAGATAAAGAAGTGTCATGGAAATTCTAACAGCAAATAAGGCAGATTGATCAGAGAAATGTGGGAAGCTGCATTAGTGCATATTTCTTCCTAGATCTGCATAACTGCATGTTACTATTCTTCAATGCAAAAAGAGCCCTCGTAATTGATATGCAATAAGCAAGCTCCGGTGTTCACCTGAGTTCAATAGTAGCACCTTGCTAATTCTGGTGATGTGAAGGGACTATGGCATAAGTTGGGAGGTAAGTTTTGCCCTGCAGTGCTTCTTAGCTTGTTCGTAGGGATTCTCACAGGTATTCTACATACCATAAAGGTTATCCTGTCAAATTCACACAAATTATTTTGTTAACGTATGCAAAAAATAAAGAGCATCTTGCTTTCACAGCAGTGTGGAGCACTGCGTTATAGTACCACTTGGTCATATCTGCCCAATAAAGCATTTACACATAAATTCTCTGAGATGAATATGGGGCGCTAAATTAGGTCACACAATTCATCATAGATTTGTAGACAGGAAATATCTTGTCATTGGGGAATAAATTAATGGCCATGGGCTAATTTCTTAAAAACCTGGCTCTTGCTAAGCATACACAAGCAATTTATTTATGGAGCCATTATGACTACATGCATCAAAATCAGACTGTACACCATTATCTTGCAAAAAAAAAAAAAAATTAAAGCTCACTTGGCACATAGATACAAGTAATCGTTCAAAGTGTCCTGAAGTGTCTGCTCTGATGTCTTGTTCAATGTCCCTTCCAAATTCCGATTTATAGCAGTTCACTATTTCTCTTATTTCCTGGTTTGTCCTTGTGCAAAGGATCTCAATCAGCACTCTCTCCTGAGTGCCTGCTCCCTGTAGGCAGAGGAAAAGAGGTCGTAACTACAAAGCACTACCTATTTAGTCATCTTCACCTGTGAAATTAAGCAGATTCTCCGAGATGAACATGGAGGACCATCAGGAACTTTTCATAGATGCTTCCCTCTCCCCAGAATAAAATAACTGTGAGTCTGTCTCAGTGAGATCTTACTGGCATGGTCATCTCCATTCAGGCACAGATTAGATAGGAGTGGATCTATGTGAAGCTTCTAGGTAATATCACATCATAATTTTTTTTAAATGCTCAAGGGTGGCTATTGCCTCCACTAAAGCCAGACCTTCATTTAAGCTCCACGTCCTTTAGAAAGTCTGTGTGCATACATGGGGCCAATTACTCATTTCCAGTATCGGCCACCTGCTAGCTGCTGCAGCTCAAACAAGCAAGACAACTTTTTTTTAACCTGAGTTAAAAGTTTAAACCAACTAGCTCACCTAATCTCTAATGCGGTCTTAGTACTTGAACAGATAACATGCATCATCTGACCTTAAGAAAGTATTCTTTCATTGTTGTCCTTTTGGAAAAAAAAAAGGGATAATCCAAAAAGATCTTTCAGTAACAATGGTTTGTTCCTAGGAAGGAGAGGTAGGTAGTTTCAATTCCAACAGTGGCTACAGTTTTAATGGTACCCTGGCCCTTTCTAGGTTCTAGCAAAAAATTATGACCAAGTGGCAGAGAATAAAGTTCTGTCCTGCAGCTTTGCATCCTCTGCTGGATAGGCGGCTGCCCTGAATTGGCTAATCCTGCAGAAATTGTCTGGAACTGAACTGGACGCAGCAGAAAAGAAGTTTTAAGCCCCAAAGTCCTGAAATTTGTTTGCCACTACAGGATTTTTCAACAATGCAGTGATCAGGTATTCTCTGTTCTTGGATAATAGTTTTAAACTATTTTGTTCACAAGAAAACCATACCTTCATTGCATGACGTAAACTCCAGGCATCGTAGTAGGTGCCAGGCATGAAGAGTGCTAGAATCAATTCTTCCACATTTCCACTTAACTCGGACTTCAGATCTTTAATTAAATCCTGTTCAATTGTAAACACAAAAAGGGCTTTGGAGAGTTTTAGCCATGTAGATTATATACTGAAAAAAGATCAAACTAGAACTTACATAAGTAAGTTTGTAAATTTGTGCTGGTTTTCCTGTAAAGCTTTGTTTTATTTCTTATAAAGACACTCAGCTCTTTATTATTTCCTCACTAATTAGGACCTAGTCAGGTCCTGAAAAAAGCCACAACTATAAAATTTCAGTTCAAGTTGCAAAAACGAGAGAGCGAAGAAACTAAATTCTCTCTGCCTTTTATACTAACCAATCCTCAGCCAGTTTCTCATTTTCTCCTCATGGGGAAAAAAAAAAACAGATTTCAGTGCTGGTTTGTATGCATAAAAAACACAGTTTCGGACACTCATGCAAGGACAGCTTAAGCTTGATTTCTATCTAGCAAGCATTACAAAAACAGAGAAGCTTCTTGTTTGGTCAGAGACAGAGCCAGCCCCCCCAACCTTCCTCCACCTCTGCTTCTGCCAGGTATCAGGACAACACTGTTATTTAACAGATTATTTATTATTATTATTTAATAATCAATAAATAATTTAATAAATTATTATTTATATTTATTAATAATT